CCCCAAAACCCCAAAACCCCAAAACCCCTATAGTAAAAATTTTGTTTATTTAGATAGAGTTTTGAAATTAAAATCAAAGATGTATTCAGTTAATATCTTTGAGAAATGATTATTATGGGATTAAAAATCACTTTGGTTTATCTTGAGTTTACTTCATTTTAAGTTCATTCACAAGATTAGAACTCATCCCATCGATTTTTTGGCCGAATTTCCTGGCACCAGCTCCAGCAGCTCCTGCTCCTGGAACAGCTCTCTTCTTCTCCTCCTTAGGCATGCTCTTAACTACATTGTCGACAAAGCTAGTGAAGAATTTGAAGAACTCCTGGGAATTAGTCACTTTTTCATCACCTTTGTCAAGCATGAAGTACTCTCCAGCTTTGGCATATTACTATTTAATAGAATCAAGCTTTTTCTCAGAGTCTTCAATAGTCTTGTTAGCTATTTCTAAGAACTCCTTAATCTTGATACAATAGTTGTCTGGTTGAGCTCCAGCTAGTGCTTTCTCAACAGCATCAAAGTTACCTTTAGCCTTATCGAAATTAGCCTTGATATCCTTTATCTTTGTATCTTCGTCCTTTAAATTGTACTAGGCGACTATGTAAACACACTTGAATTCACTCTTGATATTAACGAATTCTTCACCGAACTCAGCTTTGAATTTCTCACAAATAAACTACATGATAGTTCTATTGTTGTTGTCACGCATAGTGGTAGTCTTAGAAAGCGCCTCGAGATAAAAACCATCTGCTTGCCCCTTTTATGTCCCTCCATTCATGATATTTCCAAGAGCTAGAATGAATCCAAATATCTTCTTTAAGTACTTAGAGTTTTTAAGTTCATCAAAAGCCGTTTCAAAATTCTTTTAAACTGAAATAATCAAATCTCTCTTTTCAGGGAATTCCAATTTGAATTACCAGACTACAAGTCTTTGCTTGAGTGCTTTCATATCAATTATACCTAAGAAATACTCTTCTCCCTTATCCCACTTCTCATCCTCTGGAGTGTTCTTAGCTTCTTCAATAAGTCCGTCAATTACGTCAGGGGCAGGATATATTCTGAGAAGTGCATTTATTTGATCTTGAGTGATCAATTTGTCATCTAAAGTCCTGCAAGCTTCTTTCAATGAAACTGCGTTGGGTAATTTGTTCAATACAATCAAGATATTCTGTGCTTAGCTGGCTAATAATAAAATTTAACAGGGCAGAATTATTACGATCAAAATATGTCTTTTTCCTTACTACATTGAGGACTTTGCCAGCATCACCAGAGCTAATAGTTGTCTCTTTTTTCTAGAATTGATTTGAATTTCTAATATACTTACCTTGTTTTCAAAAAGTTCTTCTACTTCAGTTTAATCAAGCTTGAATTCTTGAACTTCATCCCAAACAGACTCCTTCTTGTTTGCTGTACCAGTAGGTACTACTAAGATTCTTCTCCAATTGAAATTTTGTAATTTTCTAACAGGCTGAATTGCTGCTTTAGTAGGTCTAGGTCTTGCGCCCATTCCCATACCCATACCCATTCCACCTGGTGGTCCCATACCTGGGGGTCCCATGCCAGGAGGTCCCATGCCTGGTGGTCCCATACCTGGTGGTCCTGGAGGTCCTCGCATACCTGGTGGAGGCATCATGCCTGGTGGTCCAGGAGGTCCTCTTATGCCTGGTGGGCCTGGAGGTAAATTCATTCCTGGTGGAGGTGGCATCCCACCCGGTGGTCCTGGGGGTCCTCTGATTCCTGGAGGTCCTGGAGGTAAATTCATTCCTGGTGGAGGTGGCATTCCGCCTGGTGGTCCTGGAGGTCCTCTGAATCCTGGAGGTCCGGGTGGTAAATTCATTCCTGGTGGAGGTGGCATTCCGCCTGGTGGTCCTGGGGGTCCTCTTATACCTGGAGGTCCAGGTGGTAAGTTCATCCCTGGTGGAGGAGGCATTCCGCCGCCTGGGGGAGGTCTTATTCCAGGGGGTCCAGGTGGAAGATTCATTCCTGGTGGAGGGGGCATTCCTCCTGGTGGTGGTGGCATATTTCCTCCTGGAGGAGGTGGCATTCTCATTCCTCCTGGTGGTGGTGGCATGTTTCCACCTGGTGGTGGTAGCATGTTTCCTCCTGGTGGTGGTGGCATGTTTCCTCCTGGGGGTGGTCTAATGTTAGGTGGTTGCATATTGCCCCCTGGTGGAGGAAGCATATTCTGTCCTGGAGGAGGAGGTGGCATTCTATTAGGAGGAGGTTACATCATATTTGTTTATTAAAACTGTTGCTATTGGCTAGCATCACCTGTATGCATGGATACATCTCCACTTAGATCAGTCATTACATTAGCATCTTTCTTCATGATCAAGTCCATAGTATCACAGATTTGGGTCAAAGTTTCACATTTCTTTTCAAATACTGCTAAATCAGTTTCTTTAAGTTTGCCTGGTACATTCTTCTCAACATAGACTATTTCTTTTTTAGATTCATAGAGATTTTTGATAGTCTCTTTTTGACCTGCAATAATGTCCTTAAACTCATTAACTTCCTTTTCAACTTTAGTTAGTTTAGTTTCAATCATTACTTTCTGGCTCTCTGCTTTGTCTAGTTTGTCTCTCAATTTTGTAGCTTCTTCTTTCCATTTCTTCAAATCATCCTGACTGAACTTAGAAAGCTCTACAACCTTGGCTAAAAGTTCTTCCTCTTTCTTTTAAGATTGAGTTTTATTCTCTTCAAGTTCCTTGATTTTTTTATTCAGAGAATCGATGTTCATTGACGTCTCTTGCATTGCCTCCTTCAAGTCAATAATCTCACTCTTTATTTATGGCAACTTGATAAGGAATTCTCTCTTATACTGATGAAGTGGAGTGAATGGACTGTAGTAGGTAGCGAGTTCTTTGCTCATTTAAGCAATCTTTTTGTAGTTCTCTAAGTCATCTCTCATCAGCTTGAATAAAGATTGCTGCTCAACGTAATGCTCAATCTTTCTCTCAAGGGTATCACAATGTTCTTGAAGTTCCTTATTTCTGTTTTTATGGATTTCGATTTCATATTGGAGTGATGGCAATATAATCTTAGAGTTTTTCTAGAAGTTCTTAAGTTGATTTATAATCTCTGGATGTCTTTCTTTAGCAAGAGCTCTAAGATCATCGTATATTCCAAGATTTTCCATTCTAGCCAAGAACTTGCTCATCTTCTAGTCTGATGGGCACTTGAATATAAGCCAGTTGATGAGTGTCAAGATGCTGATCTTAAGTTCAATGTCATTAATGGAAAGCGCATTAAGCAAATTAGCATATGGACTCTGATTTAATCTCTTAGCTGTGTTGATAGATGCTTTATTAATATAAGAGTAAGCCCCTTTCATACATTTGATCAAGCCAATCAGAAGGTAAAGTACTTATTTCTTAATATCTACACTCTGGTGATTGAAGGTCTCGAACAACTTGGTAAAGAGATGAGGCCTCTGCTTAAGGTACTCTACTCCTGAAAGGTACACAAATATGTGCTGGAGACATCTGAGAGTCATTGAGAGTATTGACTAGTCACTGGAACGCATTAGGTTCATTATTTTTGTGATACCATCTAGTTTGATAAGTTCTTCAACAAAGATATCCAATTCTTGCTATAATTAGTTTGTTAGAGTTTGAAGAGACAGGAATATGCAATAAAATGCTGATTGAAATAATGTTCTTACTCTGAGGTTAGTTTGAATGTTTTAGACTCTCTGCTTAGCTATCTTACTGGCAGTTTTGGCTTTGGAAAGTTCCTGACCAAGCAAATCCAACTCTTTAATAGATTCTTTGGCAGCCACAAATAGATTCTTATATTCCAACTCATTCAAATTCATATTAGCTATATTGCATATTTTTGTTAGGAATCACAATTAAAGACTGCTTTGTCATAATAAGAATTGAATTTATCTCCATAGGAGTATTCATCAGAATGAATGATTCAGAAATCTAGAGGTTACTTACAAATATCTTCCAATTTAGAGAATAAAATTCCTTGCTTTAAATCTCTAAGACCATAGTTTCGCTCCTGGAGATCCTCGAGGCCAAAGCTTTTAGAGAGCTTGACTGAGAGATCATTGAAATTCTTATAGTCAGAGAGATTGACCTTTACTTGCTTAGTACTATCTGTATCTAAACTCACAACTATCATCCCTATTTTAATTAGTTTAATATATCTATGCCTTGCGAATATAAATATCCTATTTCTCATTAAGTATAGTACTCATGGGGTTTTGGGGTTTTGGGG